CTGCCTGTCAATCAAGATCGGCTTGCGTGCCTCCCAGACGGCTGATATCTTATATACTCGCCTTTGAAGTCCATCGGTGGGGTTCTCGAATCGTTCTTTGTTCATCTTGACAATTTCATGCTTGTTTTTGAAGATCTGGATCGTGCTGGACCCCGTCATTGATATTAGCTCCAGGCCTTATATTCCATTTTCTTGTTGCTTCTTTTGTTTAGCATCCATAGTGCCAGGACGCTGTTCTGCAGAGTATCCCACGATATCGGTGCAGAAGAAAAGAAAAAGCAAATTAGACAACAAGAATACCGCACAGACTCCAGAGGTTCGTCATCAGCAGGTTATTCATTCAAGACATATTTCGTTAGGATTCAACGTGTGCGAGTTTAGAAACTGATGTCAATCCCAGGTCGACTGAACGTTCTACTAGCCATCTCTATTCTTCCTCAACAGCTTCATCGGCAAGGGAGGAAGAGTATACGCCCGCAAGGCATAGACCAGCAAGCCCTCGCCGAGCTGCAATGGAGGCCGCAGAACCCGTCTCATACGAGTTTCCCGGCCATGGTGTCGGCGCCGTGCCCCCCCGTCGGATGGTGAACTCCAACCTCAGCCATAATTTCCCCTTCTATTCCAGTCCAACCACCTCGTTTCCGTTACCATTTCACCAGGCCCCCCCTGCAACATATGGCTTCAGCCATCCTCTAAGTAGCCACCATCACCATCATCACCAACATCACCACCACCATCACCCGGGTTACCAGCAGTTCTTCGTCCCTAATCAACCACTTCATGCGCAGCCCGTGCGCCTTGCATCAGAACCGCCTTCAATACAGCCGATCCCGGACATTCGACCCGCCAAAAATGCCCTGAATAGAGTGTCCAGAGAGCCCTTGCCTAAGGTTGAGCATAACTCTGGACCGCAGCCTAGTCCCACGGTCCCAGCTCCTCCAGAAACTATCGTAGCTGCGCGGGAAAAGAACACTGGGCCTAGTGATATTGAGTTCTCGACAGAGGTGGATGTTTTGATGAAAGCAATCCAGGCCAAGGGCCCCTCCCAGCCAGAAAATTATCAGTCGCTACCACCATTGCAGCAATTGACCCATGGTGGTGGGAATGGGTTCCACCAGCCATACATATCACCGCCAGCTGCAAATCCCCGGCCCCCCATCGTCGCCGAGGAACCTCAGTCACGATCGGGGAAAAGGAGGAAGTATGCATGTACTTTGCCACAGTGTGGGAAAAGCTTCGCACAAAAGACCCATCTGGACATTCATATGAGGGCCCATACTGGGGACAAGCCTTTTGTAAGCCAACAGCAATAGCAGTTCCGGAGTATGCGACTGACAATGCTCTAGATTTGCAAAGAGCCATCATGTGGACAGCGGTTCTCCCAGCTAGGAAATCTCAAGGTAGGCTATGAACCATGCAAGAGCCAGAAGAGAGTCGATTAATCTGAATCCGGTATAGACTCATCAAAGGCGTCATACGGGAGAGAAACCCTTCTCCTGCGACATCTGCCAGAAGCGCTTCGCCCAGCGAGGGAACGTTCGCGCCCATAAAATCACCCATCAGCAAGCCAAACCATTCACCTGTCTCCTAGATGATTGTGGGAAACAATTCACACAGCTTGGTAATCTTAAGGTGAGTCCAAATGAACAGGTAATGGCTTACTGCAGCCTTGAGTCAGCTAACCTCGTCCAAAATTTAACTCCAGTCACATCAAAATAAGTTCCACGCAACCACGCTTCGAAACCTAACCTTAAGGTTCTCCACTGTGATCGACGGCGAACACATGAACCCCCAAGACCGGAAGCTTTGGGAATATTTCGCAACTTTGTATAAGAATAGCAACAAGGGGATCAAGGGACGTGGAAAAGATCGCAGGATCTCCCCATCTTCCAAATCGGATACGTCTTCTGGTGGGCGGCGACGGTCAAGTGCCGATGACAAAGCACGACGGGGTAGTTACGAGGACTCGTCTGTTTATACTGGAGCGTCCAGTAGTAGCGATGAAGACGAGGTCGAGCCATACTACATCGAGGGGCGCGGTTAATGAGTTTATTTTCACTTTCTTATTACATCAGATTCGATTTGGCCGGAGTAATGTGTTTGCACTCCATGTTACCAAGATACCATGTTGTTCAAAGTTTCGTTTTGTTTTATTTTATTATTCACATATGGCCAGTGTGCACGGTGGTATATATCACTATGAATAGACGTCTCGCATGGAAAAGGGAGTGTCTAACTGGGATTTGATAACACATGTCTTGTATCACTCAGCATTGCTCAGCATTTTTGTACGTCCCATGTGTATTAATCTCAGTGTATCAATTGGGGGGGGGGGAGAAAGATATATCGAAATTAAACATAAACAGGAGTGCCTAGTCAGTACGCAGTACTATCTGGAAGATCTTTATTAGCTTATGTATACCCAAACTTCGAGTACTGGGGATTAGCATCCTCGCAGTATCATATTTCTTAAATGAGAGTACAGGCTGTGTAACGGATCATGAAAGCTTCTATATTGGCTTTTGCAGATATACTCTAGTATTCTCATACACCAAAAAAGTAACCCAGGTGCTCGGCAACACACGAAACAAGTTCGGTCCAAGACCCTTATAAAACCCGGCCAAGCCCTCCGTGGCCCAAATCCGTACGATAGCATCTCGAACACCTCGATACGCAAGGTGGGCATTATACGTCTGCAGTCGCGACCTAAGCACCTGATATGGGTACGTGATTGATCCTGCAAATATTTTCGAAACACTTGAGATAGAAAAAAAATCCAGGTTGTCGAGTTGTCGTCTATTCCCAGTCGCAGGGTGCACGCTTGTGCGATACAGTTTTAGCCTTTCATAAGCCATGAACTGCAAAGCGCCATGACTGACGCCGAAAAGCGATGGAATAAGCCCGCGGTAGAAGCCTGGAATCCCTTCAGAGCGGAGTATCTGCACTGCGCCTGTCGTGAAGGAGGAATATGCGCCAGGTGAATTCGAGCCCGTGGCAAGCATGCGGGTTTTGATGACCCAAATGGGGTTGGTCAGGACAGAGGTTAAAATTCCTTTTGCGAATATTGAGCGCATTAGTTACTAGGCTCTAGTTTGGTTTGTGGTGGTGGCCACAAAACACGCCAGCACGTACCTGCGGCGCCCGAGGCGATGAAATAATCGGATGAAATGAGCAGCTCTCGCTGCTGTTGCTGCTGCCCGCCATTCTGCCTCCCGCGCAATCGCCAATCCCCTATTATATCCTTGATATTCCCATAAAATAGGAAGTAGAGCGCCCAACTGGAGGAATTTCCGATAATATTGGGCATCAACCCGCGGTAGAATGCGGCGAGTCTGCCTTCATTATGAAAGATTTCGCGAATGACACGTAATGAGCCTCCCACTCGAGAAGATGGGGACCGATCGACTGCATTTGTATTAATCTTAAGATTTTCAATCAGTCCTACCAGAAAGTGATGAGGCGATACCTTGCAGTCGGGTCTTGATCAAATCTAGCGGATGCAGACAGAGTGTTGTTGCAATGCCTGCCGTGAATCCAGCTATGGCTTCCACCGCGGATGACGACAAGCCATCCTTCCCAGTCATGAACCTATATGCTCGCGGGGTGTCACTTGGTGCTAGCTTAGTTGAGTGCAGAATCTGTCTTTCGTCGTTGTTCTTGTTAGTTTCGGTCCGAATGTCTCCCCTTGGCGTGCCGAACCTTTTATATAGCCGGGTTTAGCCGGGGTGCTTGGTACTCTCCAAAACTCCATTAGGCCCGTTGCTTTCATATCACGATAAATGCTTGGTTATGCGTTTAAATGGGTATGCGTCCAAAAACACCTTTTACGACTTTATTATATCCCTACTATTTGGTTTGATCCATACACGCTTGTTTTCGGCAACATTGTCTGCAGCCATTGACTAAACAAATTATCCGGTGATGTATATTGAGAATCCGTGGATGAGGACAGAGTAAATGATCTGATTAACCAGTGCCAAAATAACGGTAGAACTCGAATAATTTTGAATTAAAAATACACGTGTGAATGGGGGTCAGGCCGCAGACTTCCACTCTGAATGTGGAGACATACACACCCATCCACGTATGGTTTCCCTAATATGCAGAACCACATGCAAGTGAGTGCCTTCTCTCGGCAAGTGCAAGTAGCCAATGTCCGTGGCGATTTGTTCGGATAACTCATTGGGTCTATGCAAGAGGCGAGAACAGCCTGTCAGTCGAGTTAGCGAGGCGGTATATTTGACGAACGAGGTCGTTATAAATACTTGAAAAGCGATGGTCTGGGATCACTGTAGGTATAGCCTATGGAAGATTATTAGTATAAGCGATTTAAAGCTCCACGACGAGAGAATATATGGATCGGTACCGAGATAGAGTATCAGAGGCAGGTATCCACTGCAGTTAGAAATACATGAGTTTCAAGAACAGATTGTAATCCTTTGTTCGTCAAGGCTTGCTCACTAGTGCACGGCGACTCTGGAAACATCGATAACCTTGGAAATGCGTTCCTGCTCGGGGAGTCTCATCAGCAACTGGATTACAACCACAGCGGCCGGGGCACCGAATTACCTTTGTTTCCTCGGAGAATTGAGCCATTTTGGCGTTTGTCTAGATCGTGTACGTGTTCGGAGAAGAGAAGAGGTTATGGTGTAGATTTCAGTTGAGTTGAACGGAAAGGTGGTTTGAGTTGAGCTAGAGTGAAAGGCGGAGAGGAAGTCGGAATCTCAAAAGTTTTTTGGAGCTAGGTAAGTTAGAACTAGAGCCGCCACCGCAAGTGATAAAGCCATCTCCCCAACTTTTCGCATAACACTCTCTTATCTCCTTCTCCTACGACTCATTCTCTGGCTTCCATTTCTCTCTTGCCCTGTGGTTTTTAACAACTCCCAATTTCACTAGTCCCCTTCCTTCCCGGCATTGGTTCTCCTGCTGCACCGCGCCTCCTTGGGACCTGACCAACCCTTCGATTCGGTGGATATATTATCTTTACATGAGTCGCCGCCATGTCAGGCGCAAGGCATTGGTGCGTGAAACTATCGAGTTTGGTTTGAAGTTTTGCGACTAATTATCAAAACAGGGAGCAAGATAAAGAGGCCACTGTCTATATTGGCAATCTTGATGAGCGGGTATCCGATAGCCTGGTATGGGAGCTCATGCTACAGGCAGGGCGCATCGTTAATGTTCACCTACCGAAAGATCGAGTCACACAGTCACACCAAGGCTATGGCTTCGTCGAGTTCAATAGCGAAGAAGATGCGGAATACGCGTCGCGGATAATGAACGGGATTCGCCTATACGCCAAACCCATTCGCGTGAATAAGGCTTCCGCCGATAAGCAGAAGTCGGTTGAGATTGGAGCTGAGCTCTTCGTTGGGAACCTTGATCCCATGGTCACCGAGCAAGTTTTATATGACACTTTCAGCCGCTTTGGAAATTTAGTTAATCTACCTAAGGTGATTGCAACATTTTGGCTACCGTGTATTTTTCTTTCTGACTTTGCTAACCCAAATACGCAGGTCGCGAGGGATGACAGCAATTTATCAAAAGGATATGGCTTTGTGTCGTTTGCCGACTTCGAATCTTCGGATGCCGCCATAGCTAACATGAATGGCCAGTATCTGATGAACAAACAGGTGTCTGTACAATATGCTTATAAGAAAGATGGAAAGGGCGAGAGGCATGGTGACCAGGCAGAACGAATGTTAGCGGCACAGGCTCGCAAACATAACGTGCGACCACCAACTCAAACTCTTCCACCGCAGTTCACAGCTCCTGCTACACCCATCGTACCCGGCGCAATAACCAACGGTGATGTCTCACGACCAATGAGCACGGTGCCGCCAGATCAGGGCTTAGGGAGCACCCCGCAACCTGTCGGCTTCCCACCTAACATAGCTTCTCAGCAGCCACTGGCCAGACCCGGCCCGCCTCCAGTCTCACTGACAACGCCTCCTCCAGGTCTCCCAGCACGGCCGCCTCCGTCCCAGGCTGGGTACGGAGGTCCACAAACCTTCCTACCTCCCGGCTTCAACAACCCCGGTCAACAGCCTCCTTTCCCCTCCCAAGCCGCACCCCCTCCAGGGTTTCCGACTCCAAACTTCGGGGCGCCTACAGGAAACTCCGGTCCACCACCACCGCCACCATTACCTTCTGGATTCCAACAGCCAGGGTACGGTCGAGGTCGCTGAGACTCGATATAGGCCTCACTATTGAACCCACTTATAAATGGAGAAGGATGAAACAAATAGACATAAGAAATGCGGGCGCAAAGAATGAAATTAACGCCGATTCCGCAGTGTCGAGAGTATGATATGCTGTATAATGGCGCCTGTCAGAGCGAAACTTGCATATTTCCAGGGTCGCATACGCTCTTTTCTCCCGCATATACCGCGCATGGGATGCTAAAATGCTCGCCATCACTGGAGTGGGGCAGTATTTAATCAATAGTACTTTATAGCCATACTTTACGTCCTATTTCCCCCCCCCCCCAAAAAAGGGAGGAAGTAAATCGTTGCTGGTTTTTACAGGTATGGCAATATATGCCGGAGTTCAAAGTCATTTAGGTATCGCAGTAACGTGCTGGATGGATTGGAGAGAAAACTTCTACGAACTGGCCTACTTATTAGACGGTTATACCAGAACAGTGAAAATGGTACTAGCTGGTGAATTATAAGAGAGAAAGAAAGATAGCAACGTGGGACAAAAAGAACGATAGGTAACGAAGCCATCTCATCACGAAAATGATACGAATTTCGGATCTCTGGGCCGGCCATCAGGACCGATATTATTTTTAGCGAATCGCTGCTCAGTATAGATCCGGCGTGCTTCGTCGAAATCGACCCTCTGACGCCTCATGATATTCAAGACTTCGCGCTTGCCCCGTGCGTCCAGGCCGGCTCTTTGATCACCATTCTCAACATTGGTTGAAATGTCGAACGCGGATGATGTGAGTCCAGCCGACAAGTCGCCAGTGAAGCTAGATGGTAGGCGGTGGTAAATATAGTCAGGAACGGGAAGAAGTGGTAGCCATCGAGACCGAGTGAGATAGAGCGCTGTATTATATGCAAATCAGAACTTTGGTTCCTAAACCATTGAGAAGCTGTAGCTGTAAATTACATACCAGTACCACAAATACCAACGAGCAGGGCAAGAAAGTAAAAGAAATATCCCATTTTGCTGCTTTGGTTTGATGGTAGTCGTTGGTTAAGTGATGGAAGATAATGATATCAGTAAATGATTGAATGCAAGCAGCAGCCCTGGAATTAGGTAGGCGTTAAGGCTGTAGGGGTCACCGACTAGTAGCTTCGAGCAGGAAAGATATTAATTACCATATCAGCTGGAGTTGAAGCAGCCAGAAGCATCAGAAGCATCTAAAGGAGAGCAAGACAGATGTAGGCTGAAAGTACGATTGTTGTCACCTAGAAGCGCTGAAAGCCAAAAGCAGCGGGAAAGGCAAGTGGACCGTGCGTCGAGTCCACTCCACATATGTACATATCTGTTTGCTGCCATTTATTTCAGGCATTAAACCCTATTCCTAAAGTGGCCCGCTTAGCGAGACTCAGGCGCGTCACTCTTGGCATTGGCGCACACAATCATTCGGGAATTCCAGTGGCCCCAAGCCAGGAAATTGGACTTGCGACGAATTTGATCTTCATAATCTTCAACTCCAGACAAACATTTACAATGGCCGCCGAAAGATCGAACGTTTCCAGCGACCTCATCTGGCAGCTCACCCGTACGTGCATGGATTTTAACGCGATAAGCCTATGAATTCGACTCGTCTCGGCTTTGGTTAGAAACAGGAGGCTAATTCGATGGTATCTATATAGGCAACCAGAACGCTTACCTGGTCAAGCGTAACAGCAATGGTGGTGTCCAGTTCTCACGCGACCCCCTCAATGTCTTGAACAAGCACTCTTTTAAGGTACGAAGAAGCGCCTGGTTGGCGTTCTGCTCCAACTACTGTCAAGATAGAAGCATTCGCTAACGTCAGTTCTTTCTATGTTTAGCACGCCGGCTACTCCAACATCAAGGTAAATTCGCGAGCCGTCTCCGATGACATATATTCCGCAAGAATGGATTTTTGACCAACAAAACAGGCCGTCGGCGTCCAGCCTGCCGAGAATGGTGGTGTTGTCGCTATCACCAAGAAGCCAGGCACCTCCCAGCAACCCGCCAAGAGCCTGGCTTCCGTGAACTACGGCCCCAACGCCTCCAACCGCAAGTAAGCAGACCGATCGCTGTATAATTTGGAGTAAGGTCCAGATTAGCTGACTAGATGGCAGGGTCTACAAGGGTGTTGCTGACAGGACTGCTAAGGGTGGCTACCGTGCTGACCTCCGACAAGATGCAGTTGCTCGTGCGAGTGCGATTCGCCGCTCCCAGAAGGCTAAGAAGGACACACCCGCTAGGAAGCCCCGTGGAGCTCAGGCCAGGAAGGCTACCCAGGAGGAGTCTGCATAAGAACCGCGGCTGGAGCGAGGATTAGGAATATGACAATGCAAGTTCGGTACACTGGCACAAGGGGCCCCAGCGGAAAGTGATATCCATGTATTTTAGCAATGATCATTTGCTATTGGTTCAGTCCGCGGTATTCGCCCATGACTGGGGCGGAAGAAAGGGAGATAAAAATAAAAAATAGAACAAAACCCTTTTTGAACATGTGATTATCGCACGGATTATTTGGATATTGGATGGCGGAAAGACGGGAAAACAATCAGCCTTGTTGGTATCATTGTAGTCAGACACAACCATATGATGTCTGCAGCCTTCACATCCGTTTGTCGGCCCGAAGCAAGTGGTAGAGTTGGAGCCAACAAGCGTGACGCTGCCGTGTATTTGCCGTGGGGTATTTCGATACCCGCCTTTTCCCGATCTTGTGATGGTAAATGGGCAAACTCGGCTTCGTCCCTGTCAGCGGCTATCCAAAAATTGACGAAAATTGCCGGGACCTGTTGAGCAAGCCTGCTTGGAAATTCGTGATTACGAATTAGAACAAAGCAGTGTCACTGTAGTACGACTCAGCGGATATTGGAAGAGTAACTCCATGGCGGTTATAACAGGTCCATTGAATATAGCTGGCTGGCCAGCGCGCAGCTCTACTAGCGGTACATCCAATCCTGATACTCAATTTGGTCGAGTTTCGAGTCCAGGTATCTAGAAAACCAGAGCTGTTCGAGGCTTCCCAGCCGGAGCGACGGGGAATGAACCCCCTCCCCACATGTGATTTCTCCAGTCGGTTGCAATTATCGGACAGTACCTATATAAATAGAAGAAATCACTACCAACCTGCACCATCTCTTTCCTCTCAGTCTGTTACGCTTCAGGAGAAACTCCGCTCGCCCCAATTCGTCTACCCCGATACAGTCCCCCTCACCGATGTGAGTAGTAGGAATAGCCTAGAACCGTCGCCCACCTCGCGCCTGCTCCCTGCGTTGTCCCACCCATCTCTACCCCTCATTTACCCCTCTACCCAACAACAGCTTCAAACTGATCCATCCTCCTTCATCGTCCACGTCTCCCCTATCCGCTATATTCAAGCGTCGATTTTCGCTTAGTTTTCATTTCTGCAAGGCTCATCGTTCTGACCCTGTTGGCTCTCAGTACAAATAAAGCATCCTGTCTACACCATGGTTAAGGCTGGTAAGTCGAATGCGAGGGCTACCCAGTTGAGTGTTCAAGTCTAACAGAATATCCGTAGCTGTTCTCGGAGCCTCTGGTGGCATTGGCCAGGTCTGCACACCCGCTTTGTCGTTCTTCAGTACTCAAACGGTTCTCTAATCGACATTTAGCCTCTCTCCCTCCTGCTTAAGACCTCCCCTCTCATCGATGAACTGGCGCTGTACGATGTTGTTAACACTCCCGGTGTTGCTGCGGATCTTTCGCACATATCCTCCATTGCTGTTTGTCTCACTGATAAGAGCAACATCGTAGGGCTTGATGTGCTAATGCAAACAACAGAAAATCTCTGGCCACCTTCCCAAGGATGACGGCCTCAAGAATGCACTAACTGGCACTGATATTGTCGTGATCCCCGCCGGAATTCCTCGTCGGTCAACCCCATACATCCGATTACTGTATGGATAATAACAGTACACTAACACTCTGTAACAGGCAAGCCTGGTATGACTCGTGATGATCTTTTTAAGATCAACGCTGGTATTGTCCGCGACCTTGTTAAGGGCATTGCCGAATACAGCCCCAAGGCTTTCATCTTGATCATCTCCAACCCTGTCAACTCCACTGTCCCAATTGCCGCCGAGGTGCTCAAAGCCGCTGGCGTCTTTGACCCTACACGTCTCTTTGGCGTCACTACTCTTGATGTTGTTCGCGCAGAGACGTTCACCCAGGAGTTCTCTGGCCAAAAGGACCCTTCAAAAGTGACGATCCCTGTTGTCGGTGGTCACTCTGGCGAGACTATTGTCCCTCTATTTAGCAAGGCCTCCCCAGCCTTCCAGATCCCAGCTGACAAATACGCTGCTCTCGTTAACCGTATGTGTCCTCGTACAGCCCAAAAGATAGTACCACACCTTATTGATACTTGGTTTTTAGGTGTTCAATTCGGTGGTGATGAGGTAGTCAAAGCTAAGGATGGTGCCGGGTCCGCCACCCTATCCATGGCTTTTGCTGGTTTCAGGTCTGACATTCCGTGTGATACCAATGTAATACCCAATGCTAACTCAACTACAGGTTTGCTGAGAGCGTCATCAAGGCCTCCAAGGGCCAGTCCGGCGTTGTCGAACCAAGCTACGTTTATCTCCCAGGTGTTCCGGGAGGTGCGGATATCGCGAAGGCCACCGGCGTGGACTTTTTCTCGACTCCGATCGAACTTGGGGTAAGTATCTGGATTGACATACCTAAGTCCTTGTGGGCATACTAACAATACAAATAGCCGAACGGCGTCCAAAAAGCCGTTAACATCCTTGAGGGCGCCACCGAGGATGAGAAGAAGCTTCTTGATGTTGCTGTCAAGGGCCTTAAAGGAAACATTGAGAAGGGCGTCGAATTTGCCCAGAGTCCCCCACCAAAGTAAACGCGCCCATCCCCGCTCATAGCTCCCAGGACTCCCCTGTATTGGTCGGTCGTCGTATGCTGCTCGCATTTTCATTCCCACCTCTTCGGTGGTACATTCAAATCCACCACCGTTAAGGAGCTTCGCTAATCGATGTTATTCGGGAAAGATAGGCTTTGAATCATTAAAGGAATAAAAAGACGAATGGCTGGGGATAACAGTGTATCACTTGGGTTAGGTCTGTAGTCCGAGCTACAGGAACAATGCAAGCTGAGCAAACCATTTCTCTCCATACTCCATACGTACATACGTCGCGTAGGTTCTTGGCCGAATTGAGTAAGGCCAGAACAGCCGCCTTCTGATCTGTCCGACAATAGTCGTAGTGCTGTTCTCTGTCAATCATAGTCATCGTTTGTCGGAGTCTATATGGGTGTTTTAAGATTTGTTGATTGTTTTTATCTGGAAGGTTGCGCCGGGAAGCTCCGTAGTTTCAGCCTGCACCGTTGCATAGATGCCCAGGTTTGACAATGCACCACGAATGACACCACAAGGAAACCACAAATACTATGGTCTAATTAGATGACAGTTGCCCAAAATAAACTTCTGTGGGTTGTCTTACCGCCTGTGCCATGGACACGGCCTCGCTTCTGACGGACATGCTCATTCTCGCAAAAGGCCGAAAAGAGTTATCTGTCAAGACGTATACACCCTGAGAGCAAGGTCTCACTGTCAGTCCTAGCTATATATTTGTTTGTTTGACAGGGTGCTCACGCGATGGTTCGTTTTTAGATTATCGATTTGTTTCTTGAACAGTGTCATCCATAAATCCTTGCAAAGGAACTTGATGACGTCTAGATTATCCGTGAAACGCGGTCGATCTCGGGAGAACCTATCATAATACATAAAGTGTACATTAGCATGCGAAAGTTTAGATATAGAAGTTCGGTATCAGCACTACTATCCACCCCCTCCAGGGTGATTGCATCAAAGGAAGAAGCTACCCAGCATTGGAAGGCAATGCGAAATAGATGACATTTCGTACCTTTCTGCAAGTCCTTGTCCAACCCTATAGCCTAGTGACTCGAGGCGGAAGAACGACGTTTCATTCGTTTCCTCGTCATCGAGTAGTCTATCTTCTGCCGCAAGATCTTTGGCTATTCGCTCAGCCATTGGCACCAACTCAATGAGCAAGAAGTCTAGGCATGACGCATTGAGGAGTCTGGCTCGGGAGTCGGAATTTTGGGGGGGTGTGCTGGACGCATCGAGCGACATAGTTGCAGGCGGCTTATTTGGGAGTTGGCGTGGAGGAGCAGTTTATTGACTGAGACGGAGGGTAAGGAGGTAAAGTAGGAGCGGTCGTGATTGGGGAAGTTTTTAGAATGGAGGTTCACGGGGTAAGGTGCGTCTTTCTCTTCCACTCGTGAGAAGATCGTTCATGTGGTTTGCGGAGCAGCGACGTATGTGAGTTTGGAGAAACTCGGAGCCGCCCAGCCCCGCAGTCTGCTATGTATAAACTCGCGGGCTACGAAGTGAAACATCCTTCTGGCCCATAGTTATATAAATTTTCACATTAATTTTTTTTTTGGTTTGTTTTTCGGAATAATGTAACTAAGGCAGTCGAAAGGCCTGAAAGCACGACGTACGTGGCATTCGTCGTTGAAATATCAAATCTACGCCCTACCCAGCTCCCCCAGTATCTTTCTAAGGAGTGGTTACCCATCGAAATCGAATCACACCATAACGCCAGTGAATATGCGCTGTTTAATTGAGTTGTGCATTGCAAGACCGTCTGTCTTAAACGGCAAGTTGTCAATCCGACGCAAACGTCGGAAGAGAATAGGGGCTCCTATATGAATTTCGGGAATCCTGTCGAGGCAACGGCCGATGCATATTGACGGCCTGTCTCTTAGGCGGCCTTACTGGGGAATCATGGTTGTCTTCGTCACTCCCCGTAAGATCGATCACGGCAGCTGGCCGTTTATTAGTCGACCTTGTGGAGGACTGTTCTCGGGGTCCGGAGGGTGTTTGTTGTAATAGGCCCAAGACAGGGGGGGGTTCCTGCTTTACTGGTGTGACCCCAGGCTCTCTTATCTCCATTAAATCATCATCATCCGTCGCAGGCGTAACGCTTCCGGGCCCTGCTGTTCCTTCTTCTTCTGCCCCAGGATTTGACCACTGCCCATCTGGCTCTATAATGACCTGCTCTACGTCCAACGGTGTTGAGTGGAGTATATCGTCAACGTACCTATACAGTTAGCGGAGGTTTCCAGCAAGGATTGGTAATAAAAGGCTTACTGGTCGACGTTTAGGGACTCGTAGCTCGTTGCCTTTGCGCAAACTGGACACGTCCACGTTGGCGCTTGTTCTTGTAGTTGGAGAAATGACGACGCGTCAAAACACTGGTTATGCGTGCATAGCACAGAGCGGCAAGGCACCTCTATTCTTCGAGTAGAGAGGGGACATTTCAATGACATGACAGTCGACGTTGCAACAATATCCGCATCTTCGGCTTTGCTTTTCACTATTTTTGGATTAGATATTGTTGTTGCAGTTTGACGGCATGCCTACTTTCCTGGAGCACTTGCTCCTTTGTGATCGTCCTCCTTCGCTTCAGCTTATTCACAAGCTCCCCGATTGGCGTACACTCAACCAGGTTGGCAAGAATAAAAAACCTCTAATAAACAATTAGTAAGAGTGACCATTTCATTTCAACATTCCCTCGCATAGGAAAGAAAGTCGGGATTTTCTTACCTTCTGAGTCAAAGCATAAGTCATCACAACATGGTTTGTATATCCCGCCTTTTTTCGAATATAATTGGTAATATCCGCCGGTCTTGTTGTACCGGGTTTATTCTTAAGGCCCCTAAGATTAGCTTTCACCTCATCGAGATTCGCTTTAAGTTCAACTTGATGAGGGAACGAGATATCTGATTTCGTAAACTGGTTGAGACCAGTGTCTGCGGCACAAAACACCATAACTCGTAGCTTAGAATCTGCTAATAATCTGGAAGCTATGTCTGTGTCGAGAAGAATCTTGAGCTCTACGCTGTCCCTCGTGTGTTCACGTGCTGTTTTGAATGATTAGATGACACCGGTAGCAGATGAGCGGCAGTTCCCGGAAGGGGGAGGGTTCACCTTTGCATTCTACAGTCGGTGTGAGTTGTTTTATTATCCTATAAAATGGGCTGTCTTTGAAATTTAAGGGCCCTAAAAGATCATGAGAAACTACACCCAACAAATGTGGCATAGGGTCGTACCAGATGCAGACCCTTGCAAGGTCATAGACATGCCTATAGGTGATGGCCGGTGATGTGATTGTAGTACTTGGTTGGTTGGAGATTGTTGATAATGGTGCCCTGCCACTGGCGGCGGTACCGAGGGAGATTGAGGTAATGAACGGTGTGCAGTAGCATATATGAACTTTCTGAGGCTATCATAGCTTTCAAGATGGCCTGCTTGGGAAAGCTGCTCAAGGTCTGGCTCATGTTTAAGGGAAGTCCATCAGTACAGGATTGAAACGCATTTATAAAGGGAAAGATGTACCAACAGTTAATGATTCGCATTTGAAGTGAAGCTTTGACACCCGATACGGCTAACCCCTCAACTCTCAATATATCTTTCAATTGCGCATTTGTTAGGGTCTTGATCAGAGCGATCGCGCTCTGGAGCTCGGATGCCTGGCCGGATGCCATGGTGGGGACGGGTTCTCAAGGGTAGGTGTTAATGGCTGGATAGATGAGAACTCAGAGACAAAAGGCAAGGATTCTGTTCACTGGATCCATTAAGAGACATCTCAGTTGCCGGCCTTATATTTCTTGGGACGCGATATCAGAGACATAAACGCAAGGACCCAAAAAATGGAAAGGCGCTGCAATTTCACTTGCCAGTCCAACAAATCACCTTTGCGACTTGGCTCAGCAATCGTGCGGAGGTGAGAGGCGGCTCCAATCGGATGACATAAGACTGGTCAGTCGACTAACTAGTTACTTGGTGGTTGGAGAAGGAAAATGGAAAAGTTTTTCCAAACGTCCAATTTTGGTGACAACACCAATTACCTCCAAATATTACCGCAATTTTTCTCTTTATATCACACCTCGGAACCCCCTTTTTCCTCTCAAGACATCGCCTTGTGTATATCAAAGATGGCAAAAAGTGTTCGTGCAAGTGTGCAAAAGCGCAATAAAGCAAAACTCCGCTCTACTGTCTTTGGGCCTGCTGTGGATGCTAGGACAGAAAGATTATCCGCAAAGTTGCAAGAGCTTGCCTCTCAGCCTAAACCTAGCGATCAAATCAAGTCGAAGGCCTACATGGAGACCACAGAGATGGGTATGCGTCCGAATCTCGCTCGCTTTTGTTGTAGGCAGGTTTTGACGCTGTAGCTAACAACGTTTAGATAAGCAGGGTGAGAACACCGAGACCGATTTACCAACAAACAATGAAGGTAAACTAAAATAAAGCCCGTTGTAACTGTGTATACTGACGCTCATATTCTTATTCCAGCAATGGATATCGACTCCTTGAAAACCAGCGGCGGTGTTCGATCGCAACGGCGAGGACGGATCCAGAAGCGGCAGAGGAAAAATAGCTCATCCATCGTTTTCAAACCACATCCGTCAAAGACAAAGAAAACACAAAGAAAAAAGTAAATAGGGATCCTCCATCTTTCACCGTGCGATCTACGAAAATGCATTTTACCGGTGTTGTGGCTACATGCGCTACAGTTCGGTAATGCAAGAAGAAGAATACCCTTTTCAACGTTCAAGCGTGGTATCAGGCTGAGCTCATCTCCCCGAATGATAGCCAGCAAGAAAGAAAGGGACTTGAGATTTCAAACAACCAATCGAAGTCTGATTCTACCACTGCAGTCGCTGCATCAGGACCGAATCTAGCACCTAAGTTCGCCTCCACAGGCGGAAAACAAGACTTTTCATTGTATCTTGGAAGAGCCAAATATATGTGCTGGAGGTTTTACGGCTTGGCCATGATATCAAATACGTACTATTTCCGATATTAAGTATAGAATTTATTCCCGAATATGCCCTTTTATGGGGAAGCATAACCAGCCTAGCTGTTATCGATAAGCACAAAACGCATCCGAATGTAATAGGCGGTGAAACTCCTTCCCGTTTTAAACACTTCTATCGCGCAACACTATAATAGTAGACCCTGGTCAATGGATTCCGGCTGACGATGGTATCATAAAATCCCCGCGGTTTGTGTATGATTTAGTGCTCGCAATCACTTAATTTCCAGCGGGCCATGACCAAAAACGCGGCTGTACCGGCAAATAGCCTGGTATTCCTGGCCAATGTTCTCATTCCCGTTGCGATTTTGGTCTTCTCTTTTGGATTCTTTCCATATAAACCTCTAATTCCTGGCCTGGCCACGTTCAAAGAGCCTGATAATGCGCCACCAAAGGTTTTCGACAAGGTTATCTTCATGGTGGTTGATGCGTTGCGGAGGTAGGCACACATCCCTGGCCTATGTATTGCGGCTGAGAAACAAAGCGATTTCGTTTATTCGAACAATTCCGGGTTTCTATTTACTCAAAGGTCTGCGAGCTTTCCAATGGATTATGTTGAACACTCATTAATCTGCCAGATAGTCTTATTCGGTCGGGTTCCGCAGTTCCTTTTACAGCATATGCAGGATCCCCAACGGTTACAATGCCCCGCCTAAAAGCTATAACGACAGGATCCGTGCCGTCTTTTCTTGACGTTATCCTCAACATTGCTGAGTCTGACACGTCGTCGACACTTGCGTATCAAGATACGTGGCTTGCTCAAATCAGGGCAAAAGGAGGGCAACTGATAATGTACGGAGACGATACTTGGCTAAAGCTGTTTCCTGGGATGTTTGGTAGATCAGACGGGACAACAAGCTTCTTTGTGTCGGTATGCTTTGCTCTCTTATTGTCGTAGTAGCGGATGTCTCCAAGATAACTGACCATTTAAAGGACTTTACTGAAGTTGATACTAATGTGACTCGTCATATACCTGATGAACTTGTTAGAGATGATTGGTCGGCTCTAATAATGCATTACTTGGGCTTAGACCATATAGGACATAAATCTGGACCGCAAAGGTAACGTTGATCAACAATCTTACTCTGGCTCTATCGTGACCATTATCTAGTTCATACATGATACCAAAACAACATGAAATGGACTCGATAGTCACGCAAGTGTACAGATCTATGGAGCAAGAGGAACATCTGAAATCAACCCTATTTATATTGTGTGGTGATCATGGGATGAATGATGCTGGGAATCACGGTGGCTCTTCTGCAGGCGAAACCTCACCTGCGCTGCTCTTTATTTCGCCGAAGCTCCAAGCTTTGAATATCAGTAGAGAAAGCCCTATGGGTGTGGTTAATGATCTCCAGTATTATCGTCATGTCGACCAAACTGATATTACTCCGACTCTTTCGGGCCTTCTTGGATTGCCAATTCCGTTAAACAGTCTTGGCGTATTTATTCCTGAGTTCCTTGGGATGTGGCATCTTGGTAAGCTGCTTCTTATTATTTCACTGCATACTGTTGTGACAAATATACTGACCCTTGACGTCGAAATTCACAGGCTCTCAGAGAGTACAGTTACTCATTGAAAATTCCAGACAGCTGCTAGGGACGCTGAAAGAAACATTTCCGTCCTATGGTTTTGAAGGCGGCACAATGACGGCTACTTGTTCCTCGGATCCGCATGATAGCCTGGAAAGAGCTTATTGTGCATGGGCAAAAGCACAGGCATTATTACGTCAACACACTGGACCTGGCGCAGGTGATATTCAGATAGAGGTTGAATCGGCTCTATTGCACTTCCTTGGGACGTCCCAAGAAGTTATGAGCGGTGCTGCAAGCAACTATGACCTGGGATACCTTTCTCTAGGTATATGTATCGCCAGTTTCGCTGTCGTGTTCTCCCTACCCTCAGCGTATAGGGTCCTATCAAAATACCGACACCCCGGCTTGTTTCTGGTGGCAAGTGTTCTACTTTATGGCGCGATGATGTTTGCAAGTAGTTACGTGGAGGAAGAGCAACAGTTCTGGTATTGGATATTTACTGGATGGGTCTTCTACCTACATGCCAGATCCTTTCGAACTGAGCGAGTTACTCCTGACGTCGAAAACGACAAAGCATCCCGAGTTATGGCGAATGTGTTTACCGCAGCGGGGTCTGTTGCTTTAGGAGTTTCTCATAGACTCTTAAGACGCTGGAATCAGACTGGCCAAAAATTTGCCGCCGAGCCTGACATCGCACGGGAATACTTTCCAAGCCATCAGAGTAGTCTCTGGGTATTGGTGGGTATAACATATACTGGTGTCTATTCACAACTGATGAACAATTTCTCCCCATCTTGGATGTCACGTTTTTTCTGCCTTAGCGTGACCGCCACAAGCTTCATGTTCAAGCTGGTTTTTGCGGAGTCGGAGTCGCCCGAGCTTCTCAATGGAACCGTATTTAGGGACATCGCGAACCTACTCAGTGGAATTTCGCTAGTTATATATGCGCGGGCTACGATGGTTGGGATTGCTATTCTTCTGTTATTAACAGTCTTTGCCAAAATCAGTGAAAAACTGCGCAAAAACATAGGCAAGTAATGGGATCAAAGAATTTTGCATGGATGTACTAATGGAAACAGTATCGTCAGGTATAGTGGCCCACGAGGCTCTAACGCTTTTCCTCTTAACCCAGTCAAGGGTAACAAATATTCCGATTTTTTCAATTCTCAGGCTACAACTCAAAGTTTTGGCTTCGATGGGCCTAACATCGGTTGAGACCACCATAACGACCTTACTTATGCAGTATCTCACCTTTTTCGCCTTTGGTGGATCGAATGCCATCTCTTCTGTTGATCTTTCCAACGCATATAATGGCATCGGCAATTACAACATCATCTTCGTCGGTATCCTGACATACGTGGGCAATTGGGCCGGCCCAATATGGTGGGTGTCGGCTACCAAGCTTCTTAGAGCAGGCCAAACTTGGGACGAAATGCAAACTCATATAAGTCTTTTGACTTTCCACACGGCTACAACACTGGTATCTGTTATGGCCGCCTGTACAGCGTTAAGGACCCATCTTTTTATTTGGACTGTTTTTTCGCCGAAATATCTATACACAATGTCTTGGGCGATTATCCACCACCTAGCGGTGAGCCTATTGAGTGAAGTTTCCCAACTGTTTTCCGCCATTACATAGCGGTTAGTCAAGACATTACACTGCAAGATCTTCATGATATGTACATTACATTTTGGATATAGGTCATAAAAGGCATTACCCGTTGGATATCACCATTTCTGGTTATGAACCAGGCATAACTGGAGAGACAAGGCCTTAGTCTTTTTAGAATCATAACAGTCCGTTAAAAATGTCATCGATCGCATTTTTCTTCTTCATCTTCTTCTTCATCTTCTTCCCTGGGCCCGAAACCTCAGCAACACTAGTCTCTCTCAACGTGGGAAGCACGGTGTTTTCCAAAACCGGACCCGGTGTTTGATGCGTCTTCGAACTTCGAAGAATGTCCAATGTCTCCCCAGCTCGTGATAGTGCTTCCCCCATATCCTCCTGTTTCCTTGGCGTCCCCATATAGCGTAGAGAATCATCCCCATGGATATTTTTTGTCCGCGGGAGCGACTTTAGTGCTTTGCCAACCCCTGTCGCCTTGGAAAGGTGAGAAAGAGTGGCAAGGAGCACAGTACCCAGTGTAGAAAACTGGGCATCTGCTACGACCACCGAGAAGGCCCTAAGAATTAACGGTTAACGATGCATGCTTTCGAATCTGATTCTGGAGCGGTCAAGCTTACACGTAGCATCGCGGTACAATGTAATCTGCCAAATATCGTTTACAGGACTCAATGGGGGACTGGGCGTTTTCGTTGTGGCTTGAGCCCAAATTCAGCGCAAGGTTCCACACAGCTCGCTTCAGGATAGAAAGCCATTTCCACCATTTTGCCTTGCCATGCTGGTTTCTGTTGCGATGAAATATTAAGTGGAGCAGAGAATGGATGCGGAAAAGTTCGGTTTCCTCCATATCATGGCGTCTTATCGGTCAGTCAGAAGAACGCGCGCTCGGGGTTGCCATGCAAAGAAGCTTGACAGGCCCACTCAAGAAAGAATTCGATCTTCGAATTTGGAGCCCAAGGCGCACAGCTGAGGAAGAGTGGGGTTAAGGTTGAGACCACAGGTTTCCATTAGGTACCCCACAAAATTTTTAAGGGCTCGCCACAGGGCTGACTTTCTTGGCAACTTACCCTAGTTGTCGGTGCTTAGCTATCAAGATCTGGGAAATTTAGCGTCAATCGAGACCTTTTCAATCTGACCAGTCGTCATAATCTATATGTGATGAGTGATCAATATGACCAATTTGCTAGCAACTCCCTTGGATCCTTTCATTGTTCTTCGTTATTGTTTTTTGAAGATATGTACTAAAAACTCACTATTGACTTCCAAACGGAGATGAAACCCAACATTTAGACTCAACCCGAGACACAAGCCAACCTATGCGTAGAATGGCCTTCTCTCATGAATCAAAAAAGAAATGTTGGAAGCCCCAAGCCGATAATTTCCATGGAATAAGAAAAGCACCTGCCCACGAAATGAAAAGGTTTGAAACCGCACTAAAAGAAAAAGAAAAAGAACAAGGACAAGGACAAGGACAATACATGAAGGAAGATATCAATACCGGGCAAATACTCTTGTACACAAACAGTCAACTCTTCGCTTATGCGGGGAGTATTTTCCTTTTCCATTTCAGAAAAAAAACTAGGATGTCTTGGGGCCTTGGTCAGAGATATCCGAATCATACCACATTTTCATCCCAGGGTAGGTGCAAGGAGCGCTTTTCAAACCATTACCGACTGCACCTACAGGGCGCCGAGGAGCGAGAGTCCGAACATATACTATTTCACGCTCAGCAGCAGTTGTTCCACGATCAAATTGGGAACGGCGACGACGTTGCTCGTCTCGATACTGCTGTCCAACTCGTGGGGCGAACAAACCTGACGGATTAGGTTCACTTAATTAGTATTAAATAAGGATTATCGATATCACTAACCAACATGTTCCGCGTTCTCGATACTGCGACGCATCTTCGATGGGTTATCTGGACCAGGAAAGCGATCCTCCGTCCCCGCAAGAGGCCCAGCGCCAGTGTGAAAGATCTAGCCAAACAAGCACCCGATTAATTTAAGAATGGCCTTCATGGAAAGGGAAAGATGGTAATTGGTACCTTGGGGCGAAATGATGGGTGCTCAAGCATTACGGAGCTATTGCGGAACTTTTGTACAAGGCAATCCTTCCCCTGAATGGCTGCTCATACGTTAGAGCATGAACCCACAGTTGGGATATGGGGGCGCAGACTTGCGTATGAGACCTCTGCGACCTTATCGCTGTTAAAACAGTTCCTATACGCCTTGTTAAAATCATTACGTACTGGCCCTGTGGATTATACCTACCAGGTACGCCCTGCTCGCACTTTAACAAACTTCAGATATTGTAAGTTTATGACCAAAGACAGTTGGATTTCAATGAGTCACTAGGAACTAACATCGATTATATCGATTGGCTGGAGGAGGGTTAGTCACATGGCACTCGCAATTGATGGTATTTCTCACATCCTCGAAGTTGATGAAAGCATAGCCAACACTAGAACAAAAACGTCAGTTAAAGAGCGAGGCATGGCGTGTACATATGTTCAGCATACTTGCAGTTATTTGCAAAATCTATATCGGAAACAGTCAATCGGCATCCATCTATCCTGAGACAGCAATCTGGACCTACCGATACGCAAATACATGAAGTCATATTTTCCGGCGCTTGTCTCATCGACAATAGCCTTGAGCATAGCCTTATTGAATTAGAATTTGACATCCAGTACTGTCTTGCTGTTGTTTCATGAGCCATACCTGGTCAATCTTGTTGGGGATGTTCCGCAGCATGATCTATCATCCAAGGTTGGGCACAGGTGATGTGAATTGGTGCAGGAGATGGTACTTACAGTGGTGCGCACATCTAAACCAAGACGAATGCGCTCGATATCTACCGCATTCTGGTTGCTCAGACGTAAATCGGGATAGCGTGTAAGTTCGCGGCGGGGAGACGTCAAAATTCTTTCGCCTGCTCGGGTCATCCAATCCATCAATCCAGCATGTTCACCTGGCGGGATTGTTGAGCGACCTGTAGGGCTTAGTTCCATGTAAGGAGCATGATTGGGCTGGGGTGAGGTCCACGATGCATCTTCTTGATGAGGAGCATCAAGGCAGGACACATTCCCTTTCATGGAGCACGGGCTGTGGGGAGACTGGTGTGTTTCACTCTCCACATCTGGCCTAAATAACGAAACCTCAACAACGCAATCCTTCAAAAATTCATTAGCGCTCATTTTATTAGGGTGGTAGTTTTTTACGACTCACGTCCACGGAGGTGCCATTAAGTGTTGTCATAACATTTTCGGCATCACGAATGTTGAAATACTCTATGTGGAACTCGGCGATGTTTGCCTGGCCAGAAGGTGATGCGGTAAAGGTCTTTATATCTCCGAAAGTCATAGCAAGTGTCTCAAACGATCGGGCCACTGTACGTTGATTTAACTTCGGGTTTCGACTGTCGTAATAAATAGTGGCGAGCAGCTGGCCCTCGTAATCCGAGGTCTGCGAAAGAAGAGCTGGGTCTAGATGTTGTACGTACTCTTTGGGAGTGAGAGAGAAGACCCGCCATTCTGGTCGGAGGAGGCGGACCTTTTCAATTGCCTTCTTGGTTTCACGACAGTCGCTGAAGGAAACATATACCTTGCCCATGGAGCTTAGTTCGGAAAGTATAGGACCTCTGAGGGAAGTGAATTCACGACGCTTTTCAACAGTTACTCTATGTCTAGATGGTGTTCAGCAGGGGTGGGGTTTCCAGGTGCCACTCACGTTGAAAAACCCAGCAAGTGACATATACGTTAGGTTAGTTGGAACATTCTCTATAAGTAAAGCCCGAAGGGGTCCTTCTGGCTCATACTTGCTCCGGGTCGGAGTAAGGGAGAGGTATTCCCTACGGATTCTATCACTTCCAATGACTCCATAAGCTGGCACAGACCTCTCGGGGCAGCTATTTGGTAGGGCTTCGGCCGCCCCAGGGTCAACATTAGAACTAGCCGAGAAGCAGATCTCACTGGAAGATTGGTCTTGGGCCTTTAAATGAACTAGGTTGGCGCCCACGGCATCAGTCACCCCAATTGGTGTGAAGCTTGCAGCTGTTGGAGAAAGCTGTGGCCGATTTGACACGTTGGTTGAGACAAGAAACGGGTCTGAAGAAGTTCTATAATCTATCAGTGCGGGCCTGGGAATTGATAGCCGCTCACTTACGTCGAGAAGATCTGTTTGAAGCCAGTCCAATCATCGAGTGGACCACAGGCACTTGAATCGGAAAACGCTTTGGATCGCACATCTTCTGGCGAGAATGCAGTGAGTTTCGTGTCTGGTGACCCATTGGGAGAAGCCGCCCAATCAGTGGAACTAGGGCTGCTCAACCCTCGAGGAGAGTTGGACCCTCTCATGTCGAAAGACAGGGCCAGGGCCGGATGACTCTTCTGGGAGCCTGGGCGTATCTAGGGCAGATATCTTATGTGATGAAACTGCCAAGTGACAAAATCTAGCAAACAACAGTGTTAGCTTTTTTGGTAAAAAAGATGTGATTGCAGAGCTTAAGGGGTGCTAGAGGGAATGTTAGGTTAAACACAAGCTTGCTAGGTAGGCAGCTAATTCACTCCTTCAGGCACGGGAGTAAAATGCTCAAGGGGGGTTAGCTCCTGGGATGTTGCCACGCAGAGTTATTGAACAGTCGCTGCCAAAGGATATGAGCTTGCTCCAATGTACTCGTAATGAGCACAACCATATGTTTATCAGTTGGATGGGGCTCCATTAAAATCTAGGCGTCTATATAAAGCTGGATCGTTATCCCTGTACTTAGCTATATACTGTGGGTTTGTTTTGGTTTTGTTTTTTGAAATTTTTTGAAATTTTTGTTTGAAGTCCAAGGGATGTGAGCAACGCATACAAGTATATATACTTATACCTTGGCCTCGGTTTAGTCAAATTAAGCTACAGCTGGAGGGAGAGAGAGAGAGAGAGAGAGAGAGAGAGAGAGAGAGAGAGAGAGAGAGAGTGTGTGTGTGTGTGTGTGTGTATGCGAGAGAAAGAGAAATGAAAAGAAAAGAAAAAGGCCATTGTTGGTGGTATTGATAATCCTTTGTCGAGTTCCTCCGCGATACGCAGGCCATTAGCTTGCAACATCAAACCAGTTAGGCCCATGGTTTGGCTTCTAATAGTCCGCTCGAGTCCCAGACTCCCAAAGGAGATTTAGCTGGAGAAACGCAGAAAGTGATAACTTGGTATCATCTCTAAAATTATAGGACAAGCTAAACAACTACAAAAGGCTTTGTTTTATCATATGTTACCATGAAAGAAAGTGAGGGCTTTCAAAATGGAGAGTGGCAGCAACCTCATTCGTAGCAGAGCACCTATTCAAGTTATCCTATCGATAACCGACCGCTCCGATAACCGGTGTTTCCTGTTATCGGGCAGTATGACACCTAGGGTAGGTACGTGTTCTTGGCATCAGTGCAAGCTCAACACCAGCTCTCCCTGACGGTAAACCTCGAGTATTATAGTTTACTGTGCGTCCCCAAAGACATCCGAACTATATAGGATGTTAATACCAGCTCTATGCGGACTGATACCCATGTCTATCTGAATAATCTTAAATTCTAAACCACTTGATTGACCCCGATTGCTCCTATCAACCCCGACAAACCCGCCTCGGCAACATGCCGTCTATGGTTCCGTCACGAAGTGAGTCTTCATACGTACTCAACCAGGTCAGAACTCCCCATTACGTGTGAATTTATCAATAAATTAACGCGATGCTGTCTGCAGATAATTATATCCCCCTCGGATACCGATTATCTAGATCAATTGATCCCTTCTATCAAAGAGTACAGTGTCGGCAATAAAACATCTGAGTTATTACGCTCCCTCTCTAAATTCTCTAGCGACAAAGAAGCGGAAATCGAGACTATCTGCAATACAAACCACCAGGAATTTGTCTCTTCCGTCAATCAGCTTCTCCACGTCAGGGAAGGTACTGTCAGTTTAACGGCCGAGATATTGAACCTCAATCAATCAATCCAAGCAAGTACAGAAAAGTTAGCCGAACAAAAGAAGGCATTGGTAGAATCGCGGCGTCACCGTCAGAATATCGATGAGACATCCCGTGCGATACAAGATTGTCTCGAAGTTCTTCGCCTTGCCAACCAGGTTCATGATCTTCTAGCAAAGAAGAATCATTATGCCGCACTTCGCGCTCTAGAGGAGCTCCAGAATGTTCATCTAAAGGGTGTCACACAGTTTCAAATAGCTGATATGATTCAGCGTTCCGTCCCGGCCACCCAAAGAGCCATAGCTGAAGCCGTGATGTCAGATTTGAATACCTGGCTGTACCGGATACGAGAAATGTCACAGTACCTCGGGGAGATAGCCTTGTATCATACGGACTTGCGGAAGACAAGGCAAAAGGAGCGTGCTGCGAAAATACCATATCTTGAGCATTTCAAGCTGAATTCTGCAATCGAGCTAGTCTGCGACGAGCACGAAGAATATGATCTTCTCCAAAACGAGGAGCTGCAAGTTGATTTTACTCCGCTTTTTGAATGCCTACACATCCACCAGTCTCTAGGTCAGATGGAGAAGTTCCGGGTCGAATATGCAAACACCCGTCGTCGACAAAAAGAGCTCCTTATACCAGCTTCCATCACCTTAGTAGATGATGATGGGGCTAGTCTGCATAATCTCCTAGAGGAGATGGCAGGCTTTGCAATTGTTGAGCGTTCTACCATGAAAAAAGTCCCGGACATGAGATATCCAGTTGATGTGAAATATCTTCTTTCCATAATACAACTAGCAATGCGCTGCTAACCAGTGAAATTAGGTCGATGAGCTATGGGACTCAATGTGTCAGACTGCCATGGGTCTGATATCAAAGGCCCTCCACGAAGTCGACAATGCCGAGAGTCTTCTAAAAATTAAGAATCTAATTGCATTGTTCATGCAGACAATGAATGTATGTCTCTGACCGTGGTGTTTTAACATGGCTTTACTAAACTCAAGGCCACAGACCTGGGAATTTGCCGTGGGGGCATTCGATAGCTTACTCTTGACTTTATTCAGAAATTACGCCGAGCTGCTCAAAAGACGGTTTAGTGATGACTTTCAAGAGGTAGCCATCTTAACCAGCTCCAAGGACCGCTCTATTTATTCTCAATGCTAATATTGCAAAGATCGTATCCACGGATGATTACATGCCCATGCCGATACAAACGCCCGAAGAATACGATAAGGTACTCAACGTTAGCTGGTTTACCCCTAGCGAGCCACAGGAGCCGGGGTACGTTGTCGCCCACCCTACTTATGGTTCTGTTATCGCACAGTTTATACTGAGCTTAGTTATTTTAGTTTCCCGTGTGTTCTTCCATTCTCACAGATGTACCCATTGTGCTGCATCGATATACGAAACTTCCTCAACCAATTCTACTTCTTTGCCAATGACGATTTTTCAAATCCCGATATCATCGATGAGACGTTGAAAGATGTAAGGATGCGGCGCAAGCATAAGCAAGGTTGGACCGCTTCTAACTATATCAGGCCCTGGACGAACTTCTTTCTAGTAAAGTCTGCGACACGCTCGTTGAGCGCCTCAACTCCCAGTATCTGGGACAAATCGTGCAAATACTTATCAATTTGGAACACTTCGAACACGCGTGCCATGAGCTTGAGTTGTTGCTTGCTGCCGCCAGATCACAGAGCTCGTCCAGCGATCCAGTAGCTTTAAAAGCGACAGGGAAATTCCGAGATAACAAGAAGCAGGCAGAGAAACGCATATTTGAAGTTGTGAATTCTAAGATTGATGATCTCATTGAAACTGCAGAGTACGACTGGATGGCTACTGTGGCTCCTACAGAACCAAACAACTACATGCAAACTCTCACCCGTTTTCTTTCTAACATTATGAATTCAACCCTCCTTGGGCTTCCCAAAGAGATCAAAGAACTGATTTATTTCGATGCCTTAAGCCATGCTTCTACTATGATTTTAGTAAGTTTTTTGCGTGTTCTGTGTTGCTGTGGGCTTAACTGATTATCATGTAGGCCCTTCCATTAACCCCAGAAGTGAAGCGAATCAATCCCAATGGGGTCATGGCTCTTGCAAAAGACGTGGAATATTTATATCAATTCGTCGATAGTCTCAACAATCCCATCCTGAGAGAAAACTTAGATGAGCTACAGCAAACAGTGCAACTGATGCAAGCAGACAACGCAGACGAGTTTTACGATATCTCCATGAGAAACAAGAAGTATGGACGCGTAGATGCGATTAACGGCCCGACTTTGCTGGAGAAGTAAGTGGTGAATGAATCCGAGGAGTTCGAATATGTACTAACTCTCGAAGACTTACACATACAGTACAAAGCCCGGTCAAGATGGATAAATTTTCGACTCTTTCTTCTAGATTTGGAAAGAAATCATAGACGCTTGGCTTGCGCGTTCTAGTACCCGTATAAGAAAGAAAAATTGCAATCACTAGTTCCTTGATATTCGTCTTGGTGTGCTTTAAACTATAATTGGCCTTATAAATACTCCCATTGAAACATATTGCCCTTCCTGTCACTAGCAGGAGGCCCTAACGTCATAGAAACAATAAAAATGGGTATGTTCTAGTATATACTCGATCACCCAGAGGAGCACATCCGGTAGCGCCCCCCGACAAGTGCCATGGTTCAACGGTTCAGTGTAAGAGATACACCTTGATTAAATGCACCGCAACGAGGAACTGCCCCGTCGCGAGCAGTACCTATAACTTATACCCCCCTCACTGTGAAAAGCGGTTGGCGAAATTAGCTTTCTAAAACCAGATTGGGCAGGGGCCGTAGAACGTCGGGAAAATAGGTATAACCTGAGAGGACTGCATACCTGCTGGGGGGGTAGATGAGGATAAGGAGTATACATTCCTTCAAACATCTGAGTTTGCGGCTGTGCATACGCCGCCGTTGGATCGGACTGCACAGCACCTCCATACATTGCCTGTTGCCTGTACTCCTGATCCTGGAGAGGGTGCTGCCCCAGGGCTCCGTAATCCGGCGGTGCCATATGATGGGGGTGGTGCTGAACACCATGCTGAGCCGGTGGCAACTGGCCCGCAGGGGCGGGGGGCGCGGCTGCAGTTGGAGCTCCTGCTGTCTGGCTTGAGCGTTTTGCATGTGCCGAGGCTTCCTCGCGGGGGACAATATCGATGAGGAAATCAAACATGTCGGACTTAGACAAAGCGGCAGCGATGTCCGATCTCTGCAATGTCCTTCGCTTGTTATCCTCAGCATGTATCCATGCCCGCATAGTCAGCTCGGTAATGAAAACGTCACAACCTTTGGCAAACAAGATGGGAGCCTCGGCAGATATCATTTTGACTTCTGGATCAGCCTTCATGACCTTTTTTATCCGAGCTAGCGGTAATTGGTGGATTTTATAGTCATGGTTATCGGATTCCAGGTGGTTGATTACGTGTTGCCAGTACGTCGTCAAGATGTCACGGGCGGTTCCCTGTAAGCCCTGGTTGACCTGATGGAGAACAAAGTACGGTTAGCGGTGATATTATAAAAGGCACCATCATACCCACATTTGCCCATGTACCAGTATAGAGCTCAGCAACTGGAGCATAACCCTGTGCAGCAAGCTATAAATAATGCGAAGTCAGTTCAAGGTGTGGAACCATGTCTGTCCAAGGTTGGGTTATTACCGCCGCACTGGCACCTAAGAAAAGGCTTATCAGAACTATAATGACTCATGCGGATGGTAAATTCAAAGGGGTTTGATGATAGAGAGATCATTACCGTAGTGTCCACCATTTCTCGTGTCGTACAGGGGCTGCTGCCGGCCTTGCTGTTGTCCAGAACTTTGCTGTGTTTGATCCATTGTTTTGACAAGTCTATAATAAAGAAGCTAGATGAAGGGTCTGATTGATGAGTTAATCCGGAGGCGTTGGGCGGTAGGGGTCAAGACGCGATGTGATGTGATGCAATAGATGAAGCTAACTGCTGTTATAGCAGTCTAGGTAAAGAAGGTCTTTAGTATCAGAGCATGAAACAATACACAGTTGACTGTTTGGGCTGCCACTAATGATAATGTTTTTGGACAACACAGGCAGGTAAAGTTTGGGCAAGCAATTGATTTAATTATCAAATAAGGCGCCCGGGTCGCATTGAAGAGTCAGCAACTCGGCATCACAAAGCGCGCCAAGAACGGCGCTCAAAGTCAAGTGACGTTTGCGACCTCCGCATTATTGAGGGGTCATGAACATTCCTGATATACACCTAAGTATCATACACTACTAGTAAATAGATATCAATTTATTCATGCATACAGAGTACAGACCATAGATACCATAACAACCTTTTTTCTGAAATGATTTTCACTTTACCCTGCCACCAGAATGGGCATCTGCGACATAAAACAGTCTGTTCCTAAACTACCTGGGTATATATAACTGAAACACTATTTAGACTATGTGCTCAAATATTAAATACTCAAAGTCTTGATGTTGCCACTGATGATAACTCCGTGAGGCCATGAAAGCCCTAGACTCGCGATGGGGTATTTCGCGGGCGTTTATAGGTGGATATTTTGGATGTTACGACTCTCGAGGGGCCCGTATTGAAGGGGGGAGAATTGCCGGTTGGCAATGGTGACTATCGTGTCGTATCCATCTAGGTATAACATGATCGAGCGCATGGAATACCTATAGCCATGGAAATAAATATCGAGGACGCAGTACTCACCTACAGCTTCCCGTGTGGTTAGTGACCGATATGAGAACCTTTCGGGAACCTGGAAGCAAGCTGGAGCTGCCGTGTGGTAGCCTATTACGTACTAGTATATCCATGCTCAGAAGGCTGCACGGTGTAGGTACCTTCTCCGGATCTTGTACCCGTACCTACTACGTACTCAGCCAAGGCGGTGTTGGAAAGCCCGAGCTCGCCCCACAAACAGAAATTTCAATATTGAGACAAGCTTCCCTTCTTAACTCTATAAATCACCACCAATCCCCCCCTTAGTTTTTCACTTTCTTTTTATTTTCTGTCTCTGTTTAATATGAACTTATCATCTAACCAAGTCACTATGCAACACCACAATGGAGCTCTCTTGACAGATGAGAACATTCAACAGCTCCTTGCTCAGGCGGAGCAACGTCTCTGCAAGAATACAGAAACAGTTAATGACTCGATTACAACCGATCAGTCCGAGCAGAGCATCCCAAAGTATGTACTGTACTCCCACGGATGGTGGAACTGCCGGTCATGGCTGCGAGGGGCTAATAATTTTGCACTATAGTATCCCCAAGCTATCTACCGGATCGTTTTTGAAACCTTACGTCCGGCAACACAATGAGCTTGCAGTTATTGATACTGCACGAATAACGGGTCCCATGACTAACATTAATCACCAATCACTGGCTAATGAACAGACAGCATGGAAATTCAAACAAGTATGCACACAATTCCCTGTCTCTTTTTTTTTTTTTTTTTTTTTTTTTTTTTTTTTTTTTTTGCTATGAGGAAAACTCAACCATCGCATAAGCGCTTGACACAGTCCTTACAGCCCGTATTGGGCTGCGCTGTGGCAATGAGAGCCCTCTTGTTTCATAGTTACTCTGAGCATCACGTTTATATCAGCATTCTTATTCATTGGGGGTTGTCAGTTGACTTTTTGCTAATGACAATATGCTCCAGGATAAACCAACCGCGGGTAGTAACTGGTATCACCTTCCGAAGACGGAATTGACGCCTGAATTGAAGAGAGATTTACAACTTCTACGGATGCGTTCTATATTGGACCCCAAACGACATTACAAGAAAGAGAATAACAAGGCCCAACCGCCAAACTACTCTCAAGTAGGAACCATCATCGAAGGCCCAACCGAATTCTTCAGTGGCCGCATTGCCAAGCGAGACCGCAAGAGAACATTTGTGGAGGAGGCCCTGGTTCTGGAAAACGAGAACAAGCGCTTTGAGACTAGGTACAATGATGTACAAGGCAAAAAAAGGAGTGGCAAGAAAGCGTTCTACAAGAGTCTACGAGCCAAACGGAATTCTGGTGGAAAGAACCGACACCGATAAAAATTTCGACATAAAATTGTCAGCTTGATCAGGCCTGAATTCACAACGGCCACCAGATAATCAGGAAATAGCCGAAGAATTTCGGCGAGATCGCAGAAACAACCCCATCATTTCTTGGGCAATGCCTGCATGGTGAAATCACAACCTCTGGTCACATCATTATTATGATACCCTTTGACTAAGTGTTAGTGAAAATTTCTGAGACAACATGGACAACGAGTTTCTGGAATGATGATCATCAGTATCAATCCGGTTTATCAAGCGTTTTTTCGGCACTCACTTGCATATCCTGAGCTGCGGATCGGCCAGCTTCGAGCACTTCCTCGTGGTTAGCTTTCCCTTCCTGCAGTATAGTGTCTAGGTCTTTCACATCCCTCTGTTGAATCAGATGATCATCTCCACGAGGGACAGGTGATAGTACGGCGTTATTTGTTACCAGACTAAATGCTATGATCCGGATACCGCAGTGTCTTGCAACGACAATTTCCGGGACTGTCGACATTCCCACGACATCTGCCCCGAGCTGGCGAAGCATCCGACACTCCGCCCTGGTCTCATAACTGAGATTCCGAGTCAAAAAGAGCCTCGAAGCTATTCGGAGTGCCATAGCTTACCTAGGTCCGCCAACGAAAGCATAAACGCCCTCATGTAATCTCCGATTACTTTCCTTTGATCCCATAACTCCATGCCATGCTTTATGAACCTGGCGACGCAGGTCTAGATCATAAGCGTCCGACAGAGGTGGGAACCGAGGGCCGAATTCTTCGTAATTAGGTCCTCGCAGCGGATGGATACCTGCCAATCCAGCGAGAAAAATGTGCTTTGCGTATTGTTAGTGCAACCCAGGATAGTATTGATGCGAGCGAACGTTTTGGCTTACGTCGTTTAGTAGTACAATGTCGCCGACGACGTAATCTGGGTTAAGACCCCCAGCAGCATTTGTCACTATGTGTACGACATTAGCCAGCCCTAAAAACGCCTAGTTTAGGTTCCAACCGGGGAGTTGGCTCACAAACAACCGTGTCAACTCCCAGCAATTTGAAGACACGAATAGGGAACGTCACTTGTTCTATGGAATGACCCTCATAGTAGCTAAAGAATGCTGGAATTTAGCGGTTACATTCGCTTCCGTTTTAATCAGGAGATCCTTACTGTGCACGGCCAACCATCAAGACGGCCGGGACTTTATTGTCGAGTAGTCCAAACACAAGCTTACCAGCATGTCCAGGGACTTCGTTCGTTAGTAGGTGGTCTGCTGGTGAAAAGGGACTGTGAAGCAACTTTGAACTGACCGGTCAAACGAGGGAAGTGAGGGATATCAGAATAATCAATTTCTACTCGTTGCGCACTATCAATAGTGTTTGCAAGTCCGCCTAATCCAGAGCCACAAACAATAGCTACACGGGGACTTTGCAATATGCTCGGTAAATTTTTCTTTATGAAATTGTATGCTTCATCCGTCTTCTCGAGGCTTAAAGGACATGCAGGGTGCTCCATGTGATTCGGCATCTTTCGCTTTGCTTGTATTGACCGCGAAGTGTGGTTTTTTGAGGCACAGGTAAGGTAGCGCTTAAGTAGTGAGATAGAAACCCTCGCATAGAATAATCAACTGACGCGTGGTGAACTTATCTTACTCAATAAGCGAAATTAATCATTCGTCAATTGAATTACCAGCTTGGTGGTAGGTTGTGGGTAGGCAACTTTGGTAAACTTCGAGTTTTCCAGGTACTGGTACCAGGTAGTTAACTAACTATTTGGTCACGAGGGCTGATTAGTCAGGTAAAATCTAAGGAACAACTTAGGGCCTAGAAACAATCAAGTCAACGAAGCAATGAACCCAACAAGTGTCCTATAGGTCTCTCTTGTGCGAGCTTTCATTTCCTCGTCCGGAAAAAAAAAGGCAGGAAAGCAAAAAAAGGGCAAAATGTCACAGTTATCACCCCACAATATCTTATTGCGAGCAGGCAGGCCCTTGCAGGTACCGTCTTTGGAATTCTATACTGCCCGGGAATTTACATTGATGTTATCGACCAGTTTTTTGCGCGATCGCGAGCTCTTCTTAGCACGTCTAGTCAGTTAGGCAATGTGAAATATCCCCAATCCACCGCAACGAAGCCAGATGGAACAGAAGAAAGGTTGGTCTTTCCATTTTTTTCCTGTCCCTTCGGGTGTTAATGGATACAGATCAACACAACCTCGAGAGCCTTTCGATTCAGCAGTCAAGGAATGGTTTGTCTCCCAATCTATATCTGGTCTCGTTCTGGGAACAAACGAAGGATTTTTTCTGACATGTGATCTCGGTAGGGGAGAACGTCTAAATGATATCAACCTCAATGCGCGACTACCGAGAAGCGTCCAGGCGCTATACTTACGGCCGCTCCGGAGAAAGGCCGAATATGGCCTTCCGGTTTGCGACCTTCAGTTAAGATCGTACAGCATGCGGAACCTCGAGTTTTTCACGGATTTTGCTATTCGAGCTGCCTATTACTTGAAACTCCCGGTCTCTGGTCCTGTACCCCTACCCAAAATTACCGAGCGATGGACTTTCCCTCGGAGTAATTTTGTACACAAGAAGAGCCAGGAAAATTTCGAACGCATAACCCTTCGCCGATTGATTCAGATTAAAGATGGGAACCCCCAAGTTGTCCAAGCTTGGCTTGCCTTTGTCCGGAAGCATGCATTCTATGGTGTTGGAATGAAGGCAAATGTCTGGGAGCATGAAAGTATCGGTAAGACACAAACCCCAATACCACATGCCAGATTATGATATCCTAACCGCGCCGATAACCAGAAATTGCGAGAAACATGGACCAAGCTCTTCCCGGGGTTGAAAAAAATCTCGAGCTTCATCCCTCACGGTTTGGCCGTCGTGAAAACAAAACATCCGAGACAGGGGAATCATTGTCTGAGTTTTTGGGAAACGAGCGGTTATCTTTAAACAAGGGACCACTGGCTGTTAGCAGCCGATAGGGTGCACTAGTTGTATAGCTGCTCTCTTATTGTTGTTCTCTGTCGACACGTAGCTTTAAGAAACTGTATATTACTCTGTATTCATAAATACACCCCATAAAGCACAAAGTAAGCGCTAATACTCGTAGCAAGTACTATGTGGTGGTAAACAGTGCTTTACAATGTACATGTTCTTCTTCCCTTCCTATGATTGTTATTCCGGCGGGTGGTATTAGATGGTAGCATGGTTCATCATGGGGTTGCAGAAGCAGTTCTGATCTTCTGTTCAGTGCATAGGTAGCCATGGCTTTGTTCTCCGGCAGCAGATTCACTGGTGTGTTCAGGTCACGTGTATTAAAACTGTCCCGGCGATCCATTTCAATAAAATCCGGGGCACAACTTTATACCTAACATCACCCCCGAAAGCCTCTGATAACCGGGCGAGATATGTGTGTCGCAGTTGGAAAGCATCGCCAATGCCTCCAAACATTAAAGGCACGCAAGAGAATTGGTTATACCAAGGGCTTCGACATCGGACCTGCAAGACCGTCTCTAAGGTGGAAAAGTTCTCACGATTCGCAACAGTGTTTTGCAACCACGATTTTTTCCGGAATTCAACCCACTGGTGTGCCGCACCTAGGGAATTACCTTGGCGCTCTGCGTGAGTGGGTTAAAATACAGGATGCCGCCACCGATGATACTAAGTTAATATTTTCCATCGTCGATTTGCATGCATTAACCGTGCCTCAACAAGGGCACGAACTGAGGAAATGGAGAAAGGAGGCCTTTGCGATGTTGATAGCTGTTGGTTTAGATCCCAGACGTTCGACGATTTTCTATCAATCCGCCGTATGCGATAGCCTGAAACCCATTCAATGTTACTTCCACGCCGGATATCCAGCTGATAAGCTAGTCAGGTTCATCACCATGCTCAGCTATTCTGGATTCTTAGTACTGTAGCGTCTACGGGATACCTATCTAGGATGACGCAATGGAAGGTGAGTGCTCTCTAAAAGATAATACTGTCTATGCCCCTATTGGCAAAAGAAAATACACGAACGCGGGCATATAATTAACCCCAATCAGAGTAAACTTCAACTGCCAGAAGACACTACCTTGGAAAATGCAGAGGTTCGGTCGAAGCTACGTCTGGGGCTTTTTTCATATCCAGTGCTCCAGGCTGCGGATATCCTGGTTCATAGGTCTGCTTACTGTCCGTCGGGTAAATAATATCTTGCTAAGGTGACCCAGAGCTACCCATGTTCCAGTCGGAGAGGACCAAAGGCAACATCTGGAATTCTCCAGGAATACTGCAAATAGCTTCAATCACCTCTACGGGACAGTATTCCCATCCCCGGAAGCACTGATTTGTTAGGCTGCCCAGCTCATGTGTAGCTACCCCTGGTGTTCATAAGCTAACTGCCATTAGCTCCCGCGAAGAGGGTGATGTCTCTGAAGGAGCCAACGCTCAAAATGTCAAAATCCCATGTTGACGAACGTTCAAGGATCATACTCACAGATTCCCCGGGGGACATTCGACAAAAGGTTAAAGCTGCGCTTACAGATTCAGAGCCTGGCATAACCTATGATCCGATTTGCCGGCCAGGTATATCCAACCTTATAGAGATCCTAAGCCATCTCGAAGAAGGCTCGTGCTTCGAAATCGCATCACGGTACGAGTCGGCAAGTCCACGAGCTCTCAAGGAGCACCTGTCTGAAGAGATCTGTAAGGCATTGTCTCCGATTAAAGAGAAGTACAATGCAACTATCTCAGACGGCCGTAGTTTAGACGTTATTTCAGAAGAAGGGGCCGAGAAAGCACGTGCCAATGCCGAGATCACTATGAAGATGGTCCGAGAAACTATGGGGCTATGACATTTTTCTGCGAGCCGGAATCATTAAATAGCTCACCGTTCTTTGTTTCTATTTAATATTTCGACTTCAAAATCCACTGTATCAATGCCAATTGCATCATCCCGGTGTAGACTTTTCCCTTAGATCCGAATACCCATTTGTCATGTAGTCATGCGTATCTGTCTAAGAATCGGTCGGGACAGGGGGATAACCATAGATGGTCTTCAGCGTTGGGAGACAATAATGATTCAGGCCAAGTAAATCCAATGTGGGTGTGCTTTGAATTACTTAGTTGGTCTACCTAAGAGGGCGACAATCGTCAATTAAAAAAGCCATCATTCCCATCCATGGACGGCGTAAGCTGTGGCAATGGCATAAATACATCCGTTGGCTAGTTGCAAATTGCACCGGGGTTGCATATGCAGCATGACGGGCATAACCGATTGAGCTATGATCATACCGTACCCTCTATAACATTGCCGAAGCCGGCAACGGCGGATAGTTAAGCTTTCCAGTCGGTCCGACTTGGCATAGCTTCGTCGCTTTCGGTAAATTCGGTGGAACCTCAATCGTACCTTAAGGCAAGCTAGCCTTCGACCCTTCAATGTTGGGCCCGGACTGTCGTCCCCCGCCCCGTGCTTTTGCTTTTATCCTCAGAAAGGCAGATTGATGGGAAGCCCATACGATGTTAAATAGGTTTCTAATTTTATCATCTGGTCAGTAATCCAGTCGCAATTCAAGCACCCAACATTCAACACACAAGCACAGGTAGGTTCCTCTGCAATCTGTACTGATGGCACAATGATGACGACAACAATAGGATGCTGCACATGACCATTGGATAGTGTAGGCCCCGTTCCAGGCCATCCGGTCTAGGCAACAATAGCAGCACACCTCTACAAAACAGCTCGCCATGCGCCAGTCAATGGTGCTACCTTACCCGGGAGTTTACTACCTACTTACCAGCTGGGGTGGTCTGTCTTATACTTCAAGTCCTTCACCGAGATTTGTCGGTTGCATATCTATTATATAACCCACTGCGCTCTTGCTTCCCTTACATCCTAGGCGGCTGTGGGGTACCCCAACTTGTCGGCAAATCACAATGTGGAAGGTTTATTCAATTCTCGGTGCTTTGCTATTGACTCGATGTTGGGCGGGTTCATTGGTACTTCGACAAAGCGGATTGCCCGCTGTCGTTCAGCTAAATATCCGTCGCAACAATATACCGGATCCCATAGCGAGAGATCAAACGAGGCGAAAACGGGACAAGACCGTCTCGCAGTTAATTGATAATGAGGTACGTTGGCTAATAATCCCTCTATATGTATCAGGGACTTACGCTTCGGCAGGAGACGCTCTACTTCTGCAATGTAACAATCGGCACACCAGAGCAAAATCTGCGGTTGATTCTCGACACTGGTAGCAGTGATCTTTGGTGTAATGCTGCAAATTCAACACTTTGTTCGTCGTCTAGAGATCCATGCCGTATACCTGGCTCATTTGACCCAAACTTGTCTTCATCCTTGTCTTATGTTTCATCCGATTTCAACATCACGTATGCAGATGGGACGGGTGCCGCTGGGGACTACGTAACCGACACACTCCATATCGGCGGTACAACAGTCGAAAATTTTCAGTTTGGAATCGGATACTCATCTAGCTCCGCGGGTAAGTCATGTCAGGGCATGCGCCTCGTCAAACCATTGTTTAGAATACTAACTGCTCCCGATTCAGAGGGTGTTTTAGGAATTGGCTACCCATCGAATGAAGTCCAGGTTGCTCGTTTTGGGGACGATGCGTATCCCAACCTTCCTCGATTTTTAATGCAGAAGGGTTTGATTCAATCGAGCGCCTACAGCCTGTGGCTGAATGATCTTGAGGCAAATACTGGGTCTATCCTCTTCGGGGGGGTTGATACAGAAAAGTATCATGGTGATCTACGGACTCTTCCTGTCCAGAGCATCAATGGTGGGTATTCTGAACTCATAATAGCGCTCACTGGCGTTTCGCTCAATACTAAGTCCAGAGATCGCCATTTTTCCTCGGGAGACCTACCTGCAGCGGTTCTCCTTGACTCTGGAAGCTCTCTCTCGTATTTACCAGACTCCATTGCGGAGGAAATTTACAGAGACATTGGTGTGACTTATGAGCCATCCACTGGTGCTGGGTACGTACCATGTAGCTTGGCTCAGGATGACATTAATATAACATTCACATTCTCGTCCCCAGAAGTCACCGTTGGCATCAAGGAGCTTATTATAGACGGCGGGGGTCTTCGCTTTTCAAACGGTGATCGTGCTTGTATATTCGGTATTGTCCCTGCCGGAGACAGCACCGCTGTTCTTGGCGATACTTTTTTGCGCAGCGCATATGTTGTCTATGATCTGACAAATAATGAGATCTCGCTTGCACAAACCAGGTTCAATTCAACCAAGAGCAATGTTTTTGAGATACAGAGTGGAGATGATGCTGTACCCAACGCGACAAAGGTGTCTCACCCTGTTACCTCGGTTGTGGCCGATGGCTCGGGGGCGCGGATTGGGGGGCCGACGGATAGCGGAGACACTATACAATCTACAGGGACGGGTGCAGCAGTGGCGTTTGGGGAAGGAATGGGCGTTCCAGGACGTCTCGCTTTAAGCGCTGTGGTGGTCTGGTACATATGGGCCTTTTGACCGTGTCTACGCTACATACATATTTAAGCTATTTGCATGTAAATAATGCGGAGACGTGTATGTGGAAAAGTCTACAATATATATTAATATGAAAAGAGTGCATGATCTTTTTAAATACAAGCCGACGCCTGGCGGCCTGTACTTTACTTTAGATTATATAATTAACTCCTTTTACTTTATTATATAAGGATTAGATATTTTTACTCTACTCTAGATTATCTTATTTTTTAGAGACTTGGTAGTCTATGATAAATAATAAATATTATAAATAGTAAAAACTATCTTATTTTAAATAGAAATTATATATATAATAAAATATTATGTATTAAGAAATAGATTAAATATATATAGAGTTTAGCTTATAAGCTATATAAAAGGTAATATATATTGGATGGGTTAGATGACTCAGCTATACTGCATAAATTTTATACAGGATAAAAATCAATAAAATTATTATAAGGACTGGATCTTTCTATTTAACAAACTTACTAA